TTTCAACCTCGCTGAACAACTTTCACTTAATAAAGAAAGCTGATTTCATTTGACTAAAGTGTTGAAATTACGCTTTGAAGTTGGTAAACAGAAAAACAAATATTTAAATGTGTTTTTTTTTTCATAAATATTATATCTAACTTTATGAAATTGAAATATACTCCTATGGGTTTAATAGTGTAACAAAAGTAATATTTTTTGTATTAAAAACACGTAAAATATTAAAAGAAAAGCAAAGCAAGCAAAGCAAAAACAAATTTCATAAATATGTGTTATGTTGTGTAACATAAGTAATCACATGATCACATGACCGGTGAAAATTTGACAATTCCTTATAAATTTAGCAGAATTATAATTTAAAAATTGCTAATTTTAACCATTTGTACTAATTTTAATCAACTTCAGATTCAGACTTCAAGTAACAAAAATCAGGAGCAAGAGCAAGCTTTTTAGAAAAAACACATTTTTAAAACTTTTAAAATAAAAAAAAAAAGCTTGGACAGTAATAGTACTAATAAATTTATTTATTAGTAAAAATTAGATCGCTATTTAAAAGATTTGAAGACTGACAGGATAATTACTCAAGCTTGAAGAATTATAGGCAGGATGAATGGAATACTATAGTAATTACTTTATACTTGATGAATATTAATTTTTTATTAATTTTTCCTTTTTTTCATTTATTGTTTTACTTTGAATTATTATTTTGTCTTTTATTTTCTTTTTTTTTAATTTTAAGTTTCATTTTGCAGTTTTAGTAAATCTTTTAAAGTACTTATAGACATTAACTAGAAGGAAAGAAACCCCTCTAAAAAAGAATTATTTTATATAGAATTTACTTTCTTAGCCTAGAGTTTTCAACTAATAGTACACATATGATTATTCCATTATAAATTAATAAGTAGTTTAATATTTAATAATATTAGGATTATTTGAAGTGTGAGATGATCTTGTTCTTAAGAACATAAATTCTAAATCTTTACACTCCACCCTCATTGTTTACTTCTGAAGTTATATTGGATTATTACCATTTCTCCACTTGGATGCATAGTTTTTACATGCATCTTCATAAATATCTTTGTTAGAAAACTGAAAATATTTGCCATATTTTTTGTATACAAGTTCATCATATTAATTCGGATGGAATACTTGGATAATGTTTGTCATAACCAGGGAGTCCACCAAAGTACTCTAATGAATGCAATAAATTAAGATAATGTACATACTGACCTTTGATAACAGGAGAAAGAAAACCATTGTCTAAGGATAAAAGCTCAAAATATTAGGAGCTCGTAATGCATTGCAGCAATTTCTATCTTCACATTTGCGTATATCAAGGGAATTTATAAATTTGTGAAGCCAGTCACATGTTTCTTTTTCAATGTCTGAAGATATAGTGCTTTTTTTCCTGAATTTGAAATCCTCAGTCATCAACATAAGTAGTAACAACTGGTTGCCCATTGATAGGATCACGATTCTAAAGGTCACGCGGATGTTCTCTGGCATGTTTGAAATTCTCGTGTGCAAGTTCTTCATCAAATATTGTAATTTGTCCATGCTTACCATTAATTAAAAGCATTTAGTACAATTCCTGCCAGTTTGCCAGAAAGTGATGATATGCTTCGTTCTACAATAAACCTATTTGGTTTCTTTTAACCAATGGTGGACCTGATGAAAACCCCCGATTTCTTGCAAATATTTCAAAATACTTACCTGTATTTAAAAAACTTACTTAGATTACCTTTCGGTGCGAACACATCACATACAGTATTTTCATGGTGTGTAAACTCATGAAAGTCCTCCTCTTTTATGGTTGTCATTAGGTCAACCATATGTGTTTCGCATGAAGTACCTAGAAAGTATTCAGGACGGACAAAAATTCGCATTTTTCCAGTCATGGATATCTAATAAAAACACCGATGCTACATCGGTGAATACTTTAGTTATTCATTGATATCCATGGAATAACATGTATCATGTTCATGACCAACTAACAAATTATAAACAAAATATTTTTTATATTAAAGCTAATTATTTATTTGAAACGGTTATACCTTCTTATTTAAATTGTAAACGACATTATTTTACAATTCTAATTATTAATTACAAGTACGGTCAGAACTCTAATATAAAGAACAAACTCTCATAATTTTGATATAACGAATTTATGTCTAAATAAAAAATCTAATAACCGTAAAATTCATATCGAGTTCTGAATGCATTCTATTAAAATAATTTTATTTTTTCTGCATTTCAGGAGGAATTTCTTTGTAAGTATTTTCAGTGGTTTTTAATAAAGATCTAGGGGCATCAAACTTATCCATAATGATCTCAATAATTTGAATTTCGTTGAATGGGGAATCAGAAAGTTGTGAAATACAAGATTCAAATTCTTTTTTTGTGGAAACTTGAATGGTACGTCCTATAAAAAAAGAAAAAACATTAAAACCATTTATCGAATGGTTATATAAATTTTGTATTGTTTACCTTTTCTTGTTGTACTAAAGTATTCCAACGTTTTGCAATATTGCCACGGTTGGATATCATTGTATTTACGTTTGAGACCATGAATCAATCGTTCGATAGTATATCCATCGTTGTTAATAATAAAGATTATAGGATCGAGATTGTTACGAATCATGGTAGAAACTTCTTGTACGGTAACTTGGCTAAATAGATCACGCATGATTATAGGTAATCTTAATTTACGGCTTTTAAAAATATTACAATAATAACAATATACTTACAAAGAGCCGTCGCCGACAAATAAAATAACACGTCTTTTAGTTTTACCGTTTTTAACAGCCAAAGTGGCACCAAGAGTAGCACCAACGCTATACCCAATGCTTCCGTATAAAATTTGACTAATAAAAGTTGCACCTTCAGGAAATCTTACATCCATTAATCCAAACATAGATGTACCAGTTTCTGCTATTATAATATCATTAGGTTTTAAAAATTTTGAAGCAATTTCTCTCCAAAACCAACTATGAGTAATTTGTTGAGAACTTAATTCTTCCATAACTGGTTGAGATTGATATGGTGATTCAATTTGTGTTAAATCAGGTTGACGTTCTAGCCGTGATGTAAGTTTAGGTAAAATTTGCCTCATAGAAACATTTTCATAAACTGCGTAAAAAACTGTTACACGATCATGTCGTAATTCTATAGTTTTTGCCGCAGACACAAGATAAGAAAACCCTCTTTAAAAAAAATTAATTTTGGGAAATAAAATGCGGTCAGATTATAAAATTAATATATATATATATTTTTTTAAAAAAAAATCTAAATAATAAATAATTCATTACCCCGTATTGAAATCTGATTTGAGCGATCCAATAGAAATGATTAAATCAGCTTCTTCAACTCCATGTTGAACATGAGGTTCACTTACATTACCAATATAAATCCCTCCAAATAACGGATGATTTTCAGAAATAACACCTTTTCCCATTGGGGAAGTAAAAACACGAAAACCAGTTTTTTCAGCAAAATTCACAAATTCTTTAGTGATGCTATAACGAGATGTTCCAACATCAGCAAGAATTATAGTACTTTTAGATTTATGAATCTCTTCAATAATTTGACTTATAGCAGCTTCTTCAACCTCACGAGGATTTTCAGGATAAGATAAATCTAAAGGATCATCCGAAAGATCTTCGGCAACATCAATATCTTTATTATACACATCAGTGGGAAGTGAAATGTAAACTGGTCTTGCTTTTATATAACATTCTCTTAATACTCGATCAATCTCAGATTTTGCATTATCTTGATTAAGAGAAGTTTGAGCAACAGTAATTCCTTCGTACATTTTCATATAAATTCTAAAGTCACCATTTCCAAGAGTATGGTGTAATATTGCACCGTCGGCCTGTGATTGAGTAGATGGAGTACCTACTATATGCACAACTGGTACCATTTCTGCGTATGAACCCGCGATGGCATTAATTACTGAAAGTTCGCCCACTCCAAAAGTCGTAACTACAGCCTAATAATTTTGGCGGAGGATATGACAAATCAATACTATATGGCGCAGCAAATAAAAAATTATAACTTACACCTATTTTATTAATTCTTGCATAACCATCAGCAGCATAACCGATATTCAATTCATTACAACCACCAATCCATTCAATTCCTTCATCATCTTCTACCAAATCCAAAAATTTTAAATTAAAATCACCAGGTACACCGAATAAATGCTTAACTCCCAATTGTTTTAATCTTTTAATTAAATATTCTCCAATTCTCATTTTAGTCATTTTTGACATTTTTTTGATCAGTTTTTGTTAAAATAATAATTTAAAGAAATAAAATCGAATATATATATTTTTTAACGACAGTAAAAACTACTTTAATACTTTAAATAACTTTTTTTCCAAAAAATTAAATTATGAAGATAATCATAGATAAAAGAAAGATAAGTGATAATAAGTGATATAAGTGATGCAATATTTACGTCATTAAACGATATACATCCTTGTCCTTGTCACTCTCTTGATGTAATAATTTTTAACAATGATTAATAATAGTTTATTAATATTTAATTAATAATAATTATTATATATAATTTGGCGCCATGTTTAAATGATATAGAGCCATTAAATTTTTATTATTGAAAGAAAATTTTACATACATAAATACAAAAATACGATACAAAACATGCAAAATATATAATATATTAATAATTACTAATGTATAAATTATTAAAATAAGCTACATCGTCCTGTCTTTCATAAGCGTTTACTTTTCTCATGATTTCTTTGGTTTCCTTTTCTTTTTTAATCATCCAATCTTTTTTCTGTTTATTAGATTTTAATAGTGAATATTCTTTTTTAGCCAATTTAATATCAGAAATCCAATAGGCTCGTAATTTTTCACTTGACCATGTCATAAATTTAGTATATGGTATACAATCGAGTAATCCTTGTGGTAAATATTTTGGAAACACTTTGTCTCTAAAATTTGTATAAAAAAGAAAGAAGGAAGAAAGAAAAAGAAAGAAATGTTAAAAAAGTTTATTAAAACGCGAGTTTATAATATAATTATATTATACCTTACTAATAAAGTTTTTTCGGAAAAACATTTACTACATAAAGCTTCTCTTTTAACCCAAACACTATACCCAAATTTATTATAACTATTATTACAAAATTTACATCGTTTGGCCAATAAAGTCAACCAAATATATTGTTGTTCAGTCATATCTGATGGTGGTGAAAGAGAAGGATAAGTCAAATTATGTATTCTAGATGATTTCCATATATCTTGAATGGATTGTTTGGTCGACCATAATAATTTACGAAATTTTTTACATACTGAACATAATGAATATAAGTCTTGTGGTGTTAAATATGTGAAAATTTGTAAATAAATAGTTAAATGAAGAATTAAAAATATTGATCGTGGATGTAAAGGAGAAAGTCGAATGATTGGTTGTTTTCCTCCCAACCTTTTAGTAGATTTTACCATTGATACTGATGATGACATTGTTTCACTTTTTTATTTATAAGAGTCTTCTTTTCTTTTTTAAACACAAAAAAAAAAAAAAANAATTAAAAATATTGATCGTGGATGTAAAGGAGAAAGTCGAATGATTGGTTGTTTTCCTCCCAACCTTTTAGTAGATTTTACCATTGATACTGATGAAGACTATGTTTCACTGTTTTATTTATAAGTGTCATTTTTACTATTTTAAAAACAAAAAAAAAAAAATAAAAAAAATAATTTTTTTTTTTTTTTTATTAAAGAAAATAAAATCAGGATTTAATCCCGTTCAATATTTTTTCAGTGTTCATATTTATATTATCTGTAATTTTGTACACAATAAAATCAATATCTTCATTATATTAGATATGCAGTTGTGCATCTAATCTGCAACAATTGTAAAATGATTTTCCTCTATTTAAATAAAAAATCTTACCTAAATTAGACTTATAGCTAAAAATGATTAATATTACATAATTGTGTCGCATTTGAAAATTTATAAATTAAATAAAAAAAAAAAAAAAAATTCTTTTTCTAAACTAATTCATTTCGGAGAATGAATAATTTAATTCCTGAAATTCTTAAAGTTATATTTAAATATTTATATGATCCAAATGCAGATAGTTGTTACATCGCAGATCGAAATCATCTTTATTCATGTTTATTAGTAAATAGATATTGGTGTAAAGTATCTGTTCCCATTCTTTGGAGTAGAGCACTAAATTATTATGGAAGTATACATGAAAGACAGACTAAAATTTTATCCCTTCTTAAATGTCTTGATCAAAAATCTCGAAATAATTTAATTAATAATGGTATAACATTTCCTTTCTCTTTTGATGAAGTAACAATCTTTCAATATACATCTTATATTGAGGTTTTGGATTATGGTAAATTAATTAATTTGGTTGAAGATTGGTTAAATACTTTACAAAAATTACCTGCTGAAAGTTTAAGTTTAGTCCTAAGATCTATATTGAAATTATTGGTTAAAGAAACTAAAATAAAAAGTTTTAAAACCTGGCCTGTGAAATATTCTACAGATTTAACTCATTTAATATTGGTTGAGAAAGATATTGAAAATCTATTTTTAGATGTTAGAGATTTGCTTATTATTACAAATATTAGATTGGATAGATGGTTAGAACCTCTAATAAAAATTTGCAGAAAAATTGTAAGTTTATTTATATATGAATCAATCATTAATAATTCTTTCTTTTTTTTTTAAAAAAAAAAATATTTTAATCATTCATGTAGAAAAAGTTAACAATACGAATACCAGGACAAACAATTTCAACTCATTCACATTATATTGTAGAATCAGCTCAAATGTCTTTACTTATCCAACATCAACAAACACTTCAAAAATTAAAGATTTTTGAAGGATTAGGATCCTCTATTATAATTAATAAAACTTTATCATTAGTAAAAAATTCTCTCAATAAACTTGTATTTAAATATGTAAATTTTGAGGCATGTGATCCATGGTATGGCATACGTACCTTGCATATGTTACAAGTATTTAAATGTAGGAATTGTAAAGGGTTAACTGTAGAGATGGTAAAACCTTTGATAGAATGTACTAAAGAAGATTTTAAGATGATTAAGAAGGTGGATGTGGATTGGAATACTTGTAAAGAAGCGAATACTTTGTTAGATGAATGGAAATTAATAATATAAAATTATTATTATCCATATTCTTTAACTTTATTAGCAAAGATTATCTTTGTACATGTAATCTAATGTAATCTAATGTAAAAAGAAAGAAAACTTGAATTAACTAAGGAGCTTTCACACATGTTTAGTACTTGCATACAAAAGCAACAGTTTAGAAGTCTGTGCCTATATTATCTGTAATATTCGAAAAATCCTGAGACTTTTTTTCATTTATTATTTTTGGCGCTTCAATAAACACAAATATGTATAGTTTAAAGCATATAATTTATAATATAATAGATAAGTTAGTTTGTAATTTATATCGCGTAAAAATTTTCTATCCTTATCGGTCATCTTTTCTTTTTTTTTTTAAACAAAGAAAAAAATGATGTTCATCTAAAAAAAGCCAAAGGCTAAATATAATTTTTTTTTTATTACCTAAAATTGGAATGATTCTTGTATAAAAGCTGGTATATGTACTGCATATAACAAGTATTATAATAAATCATTTTATATACTAATCTCCTATTAATAAAAAACTTGTTTACCTTTTCGGTCATTTCTTAAATATCGTTAAACATTAAAATGAGAGTTCGGGCCCGATATTATATTATTAAAAAAGTAAACGAAAGTTTATTAAATTCATATAAATTTTTTTAAAATATTTTATAATATTCACCCTATATAATTTTGTTTCGTATCGAAATTTGAATAATATTCTATATTAATAATAATAAAAAAAAATATACCAGCAAAATTTACATAATTTTTCCCAAAATTTCACTTTTTAACTACCTTAAAAATTTCATATTCATCTAAACTAAGAGTTGTACCAGCTGTAATAAAATCTGAAATACCAGGATAAGAACTAATTAAGTTACAACGCATTACTTTACCAATTTCAATAGTTAAATCCCAACCAGAACCAAAACTTGGTCCAGCATTTGTTCTATATGAAACAGCATATTGAGGATCTTTAACTCGAGCGATTTGAGCTGAATTAATAGAATCCGGGATTGGAAAATGAAATATAAAAGAATCAGAACATTCTGTCCAAGTATCAATTCCACTTCCATAAGCTTTTAAATTTAATGGATTATAACCACCAATAAGTTTATCATTATATTTACTTTTTGAAATCATTATAGTTGGTCCCTTATTATCACATAATTGATGAAATGTTTTAATATCAAAATTATTTTTACTAGCACGAAATAGAAGTTCAAAAGAATGAGGTTTTGTTTTAAAATTATAAAAATTTTTTGGTTTTTTATCAATCCAACTTGAAATAAGTGCAAAATGTTTTTCTCCAATAAGACAAGAATTTGAAGGTGGACATCGTATAGGTTGTACTTCACCTGTATTTGGTGGAGTTTCGGGATCAAGATTTTGTCCAATTATATCTTCATAAAGTTGGTCAGGTAATAATTTTTTAAATGGTTTAATTTTACGCCAAAAATCTTTTGGTGAAATGTGAAACCATCGTATAAGGGGAATATAATCATGTAATATTTCTTCTAATTGTTCAAAATTTTCTAAAGTCCAATTTGTAACATTATCAACATTTATTTTATTTTCCATTTGAGCGAGACCCCATTTAAGTAAATATTGCCAAATGTCTAATTCTTCCATTGCAAGATCATCTTGTTTGAGGAAAAGTTTTAAAATTGATTCATTTAAAGAATAAAATTTTGAAGAACCAAATAATAATTTTGGTTCTTTACAAATTATATCCATACAAAAATCTTTAAGGATTGTACATTTTTTATATTGAATTACCGTTTGAAGTGAATCAATTGCATTTTCTTGTATGAATTCCGTTTGGTTTGATATCATATGAGTTTGAATATGAGCGTTTAATTTTTGAAGATCTAATTCTTCGGTTGCAACCAAAAGTCGAAGTAAATCCGTTCCTTGTAATATATCCAAATCAATTAGTCCTGTATACAAATACCTATTGAAATTAAAAAAAAAAATTTTTTTTTGATATTAATAAAAAACTTTGAAATAAATAATTGAAATATTTAACATCCTTTTACTCACTTTAATAAAATTTCGAAAATATTTGATAAAATATTTGGTTTCTTAAAAGCGATTACACCTTTTTCTTTACGTAACCAATTTTTTGATAGTGTAGTTCTGAAATATGTTGACCTTGTGCATAATATAAGAGAATGTACACGAAATTCTCTTCTATTCTCTCCTTCTCCGGCTTCAATAATAACATCATGATTATCCCCATTTATTAAAAGTTTTGCGAAATCACTTGACAAATCTGTTAAAAAATTTGAACCTGTAATCATCTTTATAAAACGAATAGTGAATGAAAAATTCAAATAATTTTATTTCAAAAGAATTTAATATATATATAGAGATTTATAGATTTTTTTTTCTTTGAAGGCGTGCATACGATTTGACATACGATTTGGATTTTGCGCGATCAATAGAACCATAATAGAAAAGATGAAAACCAGTTTATGTTATAACACAGCCTTATGCAAAGTTATGCGTACATGCCGCGCATAAAATAAAATTTATGCGCCCATAAATCATTATGCTGGTGAGCATGTGATAATTAACTAACTTTGTAAATTTCTTATCTGCACGGGCCAGAAAAATAAAGATCGGCCCGAAATTTTGGAATTAAGATAAGGGATCATGTGATTTATTACAAACTTTTACGCGTGACAACTGTTACGTACTGATACATCATCTCTCCAGCTGAGTTCTAATGTCCTCAAGGTAGCTTCTATAAGTTGAATTCTTTTCAACAACATTTTCAATAATTTCAGTGGCACTTTTATATGGTCAATTCTCATATATGGCCTTAGATATGGCTTCACCAATCCCTTTAATTATATTAACAATTTGTTGGGGCTCTACGAAGTTGATATTGAGATCATTATAATATCAAAAGTCAATCATGAGGCAAACAAGGGGCCAAAATACTGATTGAAGTTATCCTTTGAAATAATTAGGCAGTCATCTGGTAGATCTTTAGGATTACCTTCAAATGGTCATGATATGAATGAGAAAAGAGCTCACCAGAATCACTTTTTAAATATTATTATGCATTTCTGAATTTCATCACAAAGTTTTTTGGGAAATGTTAATGGAGATCTATAAATAAAAACTAGCTGTTAATAATAGAAAATTAAAATAAAACAATAAAAACAAGTCATTAAAATTTTGTCTAAAAATATAATTATAAAAATAGTTACATTTTTGTTTCTGTTCTTACTGTTGATTAATGTGCTAAACAGTCTGGTACGTAAACCAAAATTATTATCATCACTTCATTGTTTTCTGTCTTTATGAAATATAGTAGGACATAGTAAACGTTATGAAAGAAATCTAGAAAAGAAGCGAATTAATAATGCTGTTTTTACACAAAGATTATACTAAGAATTAGATATATGGAATCTTGCAGTCATAGATAACATAGATTTCAAACAAAAAACATTTTCCTTTGGAAATATATATGATATTATAAGAAACAGCTCATATGCAACTTTGAGAATGGCATTCCAATCGGCAATTCCCAATTATCTGGCAATGTGTCAGGAAGAATTAATTACCTTGGAAAAAGATAATCATATATTTGATATGAATTTTACTATGCAAGAAACTTTGGATTGATTTAAAGTATATTAGAAAATTTGCTAAATTTTTAAAGTACAAATGAAGGCAATTTAGAATATAATCAAAATTTTGATACAGAAATAATTAAAAAAACTATACTAGAGAAATTTGAACATGGCTGTTAAGGCCCTTCTTCTTACATTGTAATTCTTGAATTAGGAGATAATTTGAATTCAAATTAAGCAATTTTAGAAGCTGCTATTACAGTCAAACCTTAATATAGCGAACCCTTGATATAGTGAATTTCTTAGACAACTATAATAAATTTCCCTTCACTATAACGAATTAACCAATCAAATCTCTTAAAATCTTCACTATAATCTTATAGCGAAATTGAAGTCTAGATCCTAAAGTTCGTTATAACAAGGGTTAACTGTATATACAAAGCTGATTTTAATTTGCAAAAGACTATATATCTTGATATAGTTACTGATGAAGTTATTTATCATTGGTTAGTTAGATGCTAAGAGTAATAGTCTCAATTGAGACTATTACTTGAATAATAGCACATCTCCAAAGATTTGTATTCAGTTCTAATTGTATTATTCTTTAATTACGGACTTCTAAATTTAACAAGAGAATTAGGTGTTCAATTTCTGGACAAGTTTGAGATAGCCGTTGATTATTGAATGACATCTAGAATCTTAGACTTTTTGTAGGTGGCAGTTGGGATTTCAATTAATATATTTACAAAAAGAAAAAATATTAATTTGTCTGAAATTAATGAATAAAAATACTAATACCAATATTTTTTAAAAAATTTGGTATTTTTATTATCAGTGGTTAGAATATGGAAAATACACTGAATAGGAATGAAAATTGGAAATCATAATTTGTAACAAGATGTTTTTGCTGCAGCATCATTTTTTTTTCAAGTGCAGGTAAATTAAATTACATAGTAACTATTATTTAACATCTTTTTATCTTAACTAAGTATCCAAAATTAAATGAAATTTTGTAATACGTTAGAGCATTTGGAGTCTTTGCAATAGAAAGATACAAAACTCAAAAAAAATTTTAATTTTACTTTATATGCTAATTATGTTTTTTTTATGCAAATTTAATATTAATTTAATTTTTAATATTTTTTAAGTTTCGTACCTTTCTATTGCAAAGACCCCATTTAGAATACCAAAAAACATTGATGATGATAAAAGTGAAAATCAAAAGTCTATTTATTTTAGTTTTGACAAAATGCTTGAGACCTTTAAAGTTCATTTTATAAAACAAAATATTAGTAGAAATATTATTGATAAAATGAAATTAAAATCAAATATTAAAGCAGCTCAATCAGAAAGAGAGAGAATTGAACTACTTCTAAGCAAGGACACTTTAATTTTTCAGAGTCAACGTGCTATTAATTCTAAAAGAAAGGCCTTATGAAAATTAATAAAAGACTTAATTATAATTTTTGACATGACAGATCTATTGTTACATTAAAAATCTCAAGTCACCTGAAATACATAAAAAAGGATATGAAAAATTACTTGTATATTATGAAAATGGCTTGAAACAAATGCAGATAATTTACAAACAAAATGTGATAAAAAGTGAATTTTGAAATGTACAGAAAAAATGTGCATTGAAAGTTCGCTGAATAAAGTACAAAAATTATGCTGAAACAAAGAGAAATAAAAGGAAAGCAAAAAAAATTGAAAGGAAGACATGAAGGCATGATAAAATACCTTTAAATAATGATCAACCAGAAGTATACTATATGCAAAATTTTGTATAGATTTAAATTATACCTAATTCTCCTACACATCTGCCACTTTAGCTACATGTTGATAACCATAATAACCAGATTTTCAAAAGACAAAAAAAAGTATTTGCATATAAAGAGTAAATACTGAAATATCTGTTAATTTATGAAAAGATTTCAAATCATATATATGATAAGACGCTTCAATTACTTGGAGCTAAATGGGATAAAAAAAGGATATATAATTGGTGGAATTATCATATTAATAAATAATAATTAATTCAAATAAATTTATGTATTATTATAGAATTCCGGACATTACATATACAACTCAGTACAGTGACACCTCTCTAAGTGCACCCTCCTTGGGACCATAGTAAAAAAATAGTAGAATGTGCACTTAGAGAGGGTGTGCATTTATAGAGAGTAAAATATTAAGAGCTCTTATAAGTTGGGACCAGGCCCACCGTGCACTTAAAGAGAATTTATATAGTGCGTGCACTTATAGAGGGTGCACTTATAGAGGTGTCACTGTAGCAACTTTTTTGCAGATTGACCTAAATTTCACAAAAAAAAAATCAGTTTTTTGCGATTATCTCAGCATCCAGTGGTTTAATTTGAATGAACTTTTTTTTGTTTTGTAGCTCTCATTGAGCTTTACAAAATAAAAATACTCTACATGAATCGGATCACTGGATACCAAGATAATCACAAAAAATGGAAAATAAAAAAGAGCAAATTTGGTCTTTTTTTGGCAAAAAGTCAGTTGTGAGTTCTATAAGAGATGTTCAGAGTCCTATTATTATTGTATAATATTTACAAAGTTAAATAATACTGGTTGAAATAAAAACTTTCAGTCATGTGGCAAATCGGCTGATCTGTCATACATTTTGGCCAAATTTTGGAAATTATTAAAAATCGGCCAAATTTCGACATATATGATTTATGGTCGATTTATTGAATTATTTAATCAAACATTACGCGTTATGCATTATACATATTAAAAGTTTAAAAAAGGATCATTTTATACATCCTTTTTTAAATTTTTTTTAATTTTTTTCTTCCCCTCCCCTTTCCTTTCCTTTGTTCCCCTTCCCTGTTTCCCCTTCTTTTTCTTTCCTTTCTTTCGTTCTCCTTTCCCTTCCTTCCCTTTTTCTTCCTTCCCTTTCCTCCTTTCACTTTTTTACTTTTTTTTTATAGGTTCAGCTTTTGGGTGGGCTTCTGAAGTACAGAAACTCCAAAGATTATGTATTATTTTATTATTATTTTTGTAAAGACATGTAAAAACATACCTATAGAATACAAATATATTAAATTAATTAATGATAAAATGCTTTTTGTTAAAAAAATAATATTATATTTTCCAGTAGAAAGATTCTAAACTTTCACTAAGCGATTCGCAACCTTTTTGGAACTTCTTTTAATATTTTCTCCAAAATATAATATTTAAGTCTAAATAAAAACTATACCTAGTGAACTTTCAGGTTCCAAAAGATAAGAAAATAATATATTTTTTTTAATATTTAGTAATTTATAAATGTTTTATTAGACATGAACGTTCTGAATAGCAAAAAAATTTTTGTGCTATGATAGTCAATTAAAAGTCACGTGATTACACTCTCCTTAATGATTTATGTCCTGAAATTATTAAAGGAACTCAAAAATCGTATTTCTGTCTCTTATACACATCTAGATGTGTATAAGAGACAGGCAAAAAAATTTTTGTGCTATGATAGTCAATTAAAAGTCACGTGATTACACTCTCCCATGGTTACTAACCATTCTTTTTTCTTTTTTTTTTTAGGTTCAGCTGTTTGGATGACTTCTGAAGAATGGAAAAAACCAAGTTTCATAAGTTTGGAACTTGGTTTATTTTTTTTTAATATTATGAATGGTTATTAACCATTCTTTTTCTTTTATTTTTATAAGTTCGGCATCTCAAGTAGGGCTTCCAAATTCTGAAGAATGAAAAAAACCAAGATTTGTAAGTATATACGAATCTTTATAATTTTTTTTGTTTTTTTAATTTTATTAATGAACGGTTACTAATAACTGTTCTTTCTTTATTTTTAGATTCGGA